AGCACTCTCGAAGAACACTTCAAAACATTGCAGCAAAGCATGAAGCAGCTGCCGCCCGAAACGGGCCAACCACGTACGTGCCTCTTCCTGTCCGTTTTAAAGCTGCAGCCGGATCGTGAACACTCTACAACTTTCTCGTCTTAGAGGTTATTACAACGTATTGCTTTTCAGCGTGCCCTAATAAAACTACCATGGCGATACAAATGAGTCCAGCAAACAACGGTTGTTCCTATTCTGTGCCTTCACCAAACGTGGGCCTTTCTTAGGCTGCTGCCGCGAACGCGAAAACGACGGCGAATATGGCAATGGACCGCGTGAGCCACAAGAGCAAGATCGACGTGTTCGAGAACGCTTTCAGGAAGATCAAAGAGGTGCGTGGGTTAGATGCGTGCATGTGTGTGACAAGACAGCCCGGAAAAAGACACCAATGATGCTAAAACGCGAAACCCTAGACCAGCAGGCGATAGGTGGGCCGTTCTCGACTGGTCACGCAGGATGATGGGGACAAGCTCGACTGTACATTTCAGCCCTGTTTCATGTGCACCACTTACTGTAGACACTTTTAGTGGTAGATAGGGTTAATGGTTCGTTGGTTATTGCTTGGAGACGACGACAAGCGACGTAGCATTGCGTCCTAAGTTGTCGAACACGGTGAGCGGTTGAATTTCCGCAAAGACGAAGGAGCCGGTTTCATCGGACGAAGTCTCCCCCCCTTTTCCCTGGTAGCAACCACGACAGCCATGAAGCTGAGGGCGACGACAAGGTTACGGTTGTCACGGCCACGAGGAGGCAACATGAGCAGACACGCAATACACCTCGGCTCCACCCCGTTGCTCCGGTACCGTTTTCGTCTCCGCAGGCGACGGGCGTGTCCGATGTGAACGAAGTGATCCAGAAGATGATCAGTCAGGAGAGCACGGCAGAAAGCCTCATGATACTCACGAAAGAGAACCAGGTGGGTCGACGGCAAGCCTCTCCTGATTGTTCAAACTAGGTGCCTGTCTGCCGGTGGTTTCGGTGAACCCGGTGCCATCTCATCTGCAAAGTGGCACAGCAGAATCAAGATTTGTACCCCGTTTCAATATTTCGTCTAGAGAAAGGCTCCGCCAACACCGTCCAGTGACAGTAATAAACGGAGTCGTCTACCGACGCATCCATGGGGAATCTCTTGACGTGCATTTGATCGGTTCTTGATCTTTTGAATGTCCGTGTAAGCCAATGTTCGACTTGTGCACGCGCTCGTAGCATGCTTACGGTCGGGGCTTGGGATTCGGACCATTCCAAGGGCCACAGCCACCAGCATATTATTACCCTCGGCTGAACGGGGTGTCACCAGGCTAGGCAAGGGTTGAGTACTATATTGCGAACGGTGCCGAAATACCGAAGTGTCCTCAGACGTTTGACTGGCTGTGACGTTATTCTGACCCAGGCAAGGATCGAGGGGTTAAACAAGCGCAAGTCGTCTCTCAAGGCGGCGGTGGAAGAGGTGAAATACTCCGGTCCTGGAGAGGGGCACCGTCGAAAGGTAACCAAAAAGAGGGTCTGCCTACGGTTAGGGCAATAAAACGAGCGATCATTCATTAAAGGCTACCATGTCAACGGCTCTCTTGCTCTCTTCCTTGGCATTGATGGGTGGTCAGAATTTCGCATTGCGGTGCAAAATCGGCAGCAAAAAGGCACCACAGTACGCCTCAAAGTCTAGAATACTCCCGCGGCAAGGTAATGCATGGCTTCCAACTTCGAAGTCCAGGAGAAGTGTATCCTGTACTCGTTGCCTGCCTGATGAAGATGAGGACTTAATCGCCAGAGGCCCCTCCGCAGCGTTGTTTCGCTAAATGCCTCTCTACAGCAAGACCGAGGCCTAAATTTACCCCACGTACCGCCGTCGTCGACGGTGTTGCTGGTGGCCGTCTTCTTGGTCTGCAGATGGTCGATGACCACGAGGAGCTGCTGTCGAACAGCGTGGCCAGGCTCGAGAGAGTGCGGCACAAGCACGAGCGCCTGTCGAAGATTCTCATCAGCGTCAAGGCGGGGATAGAGCACCTTCAGGACAAGCTCAAGAGCACTGCTACCGAGGTGTGCCTTCGCCCTCTTCCGTCGCCTACGCGCGGGACGTTGAAACGCGGTTCCCCGCGGCGCGTGATTTCACACACGCGCATGCCTTCTCCCCGAGCAAAACATCAGCACCTCGTGCACCATGCAGAGTTTCGGTGGTATTCTCAAAACGCTACTCAGGCCGCGGGACGTTCACTCTGGAGTCCTAAGTGGCACAATTGGTCTTGGCCCCCAAGAATGTGACACCATGCCCGCGGCAGGCCTGCCGTTCGCCAAGTCTAGTACTTTAGAACGATGCACCACCCAGCCAGTATGATTTTTTTTCCTTGGCTCGTTTTTTTCTTTCTCGGTAGGGTAGCCAATATACATTGTGCAGGTCGTAGGACAGGGTTCTAAACTGAAAGCACCTGTTCTTGAATGGTCTAGACTAGTTCTAGATTTTCTACTTGGTTGGGCACCAAGTTCTCAATTCCCAGGTTCTTGTGTGGTGGTACGTTCTGCATCGCCCATGGTCTGACCGCTCATCCTGTGCACCCGACTTTGTGCCCATTTGCTCCTTCCGGCAACGGCTTGTTGTCGACGAGACTGTACACGAAGAAATACTTCGAGACGAAACCAGTGTCAACCGTTCTTCGCGTTTGATGCTGAAAACTTGTTCACCCCCTAATGCCCCCCTATTTCTGCTGTCCCGACCGTCTCCTTTCTTGCTTGTTGCCGGGGTAATCGGTCTGGCGGGTGGGATTTGCGGGAAAAAATGGGATTTCTGAAGGTTGGGGTCGAGCCTATGGTTATGACCGACGAAACCGTGGTGGACGTGCTGGAGGTCGCCGAAAAGGTGCTGGTGGAGGTTAGCGAGAGAGTCAAGGTGAGAGACATCAGGCTGGCTGAGGACTTGGATCTTGCGTGATACTGGTGTCATTTTGGTGTGGCGTCATCATCGCCGTCGCCGCTGTGGCTGATGCCCTTGTGGTGGCCGAGTTGACGATGTAGCATACCTGCTATTTTCATGAATAACAGCGTGATGCCGGCTCGGAAGAGAGGGACTGACATTGCATCTCCCCCCGAATCCCTTGCCAAAAAACAAAAAATCTGTAGCTCAACGAGTACGAGCATAGCGTGGGCGACACGGGTGCCATCCAGACCCAACAAGCTGCCGTGGGTGGGGGAGGAGGAGAAAGAGCCGGAGGGTCTCAGATAGACCTCGTTTCGTGGGGGGGTAGGGGCGACGGAGCAACGGGTGGCACAGACGAGGGGGCCGTGCAGATGCGGCCGTACAACCAAAGGATCGAGCTGCCGAGCGTGGACGATGTCGACGGGGACGCGGGAAAGGCGAGAAGTGGAGGGTCAGTCGACGATGACGGGATTCACGATCTGGACGAAGACGAGCTGACGAGGGATAAGGTTAAGAAGGCGGCTTCTCACGTGAGTGGGTACAGCAGGGCCGACACTTTCTTCTCACCTTGAGGCGTTGCGGCACACGCTGTAGACTACTTCGTCTATAGGGTAAAACATGCTTCGAGGATAACCGATGCCAATGGATTGTGGTGTTTACGTGTGGGTGGACAACCACGCATGTCTGTGTCAAACGCTTCTTTCTACACTGTAGGATCGATGACGTGTAGGACCTCCGCCTGCGCGAAAAGGATAGCGAGAAGAGGAAGTCTTCGGTCGCTGGATCGCTAAACACTCTTGTTGCAAGTATGGCTTGTGTTTTTATCGACCCTCAACAAAACGTTGACCAATTGATCATCGTTCTGGTTGATGGAGCGCATATTTCAGGCGGATAAAATACTAGAACACATGCCCAAAGTATGTTTTGGAACGCCAAAACAACTCGGCACTTTTGGACCTGCCGTTGAATGCCCCCTAACAGGTTCTCCTGCAGCAAGAGAAGAAGAAGAAGAAGCCCAAGAGGAAGGGACGTGGGGCCGACTAAATGGAACGCCACCTTCGTGAATATGAGACGATTGAGAACAGTGCGCACGAAGTCATCATCTATGATCGGGATGTCGGGCTGTATCCGATGCCATGTTGAGCGTTGGGAGTGACCATCAAGCGGATATGAAGACTGTCACTACTGTTGTAGATGAATGCGAAAAACAGGTTTTGACACCCTTGCACGGTTACGGAAAGGTCTTGCTTGCATGCAACCAGACGCCGGAGTGTTGTGACCAGAATGATACTGAGAGCTTTATTTAGGATCTATTATGCGTTGGTGGTTGTAGACGCACGCAGCCAGTTTCACTCTTGTTAAATTGGTACTATTGGTATGCAGTAAACAGCACGTATGTACAAGCGCCAAGAACGGGCGACGCGGTATGTGCAATGTGGCTAATGTTGTTGAAGATCAAGAGAGAAAAAACTATGTAGACTAGAGCTATGGGCACAGACTCGCGCTTTGTACTATCCGAAAGGGTGGTCTAGGAAGGTGATCGCTCAAGACTGAGCAATGGGTGTTCTGACGCTACGTCGGGCTTTTATTGGACCCCAAAACTCATAAGAAAGACGTGCAAATTTACGCGGTATCAGGAAGGTTGATATCCTGAGCTAGAAAAGTACAAGTAGGCTTATGTGGTGGTCTACAAGGTTTGGAGAGCCAGCTGGATTTTTACTGTCAGGAGGACGCAAGCTCATCTGAAATGGGCAACCAAACGAAAAAAAAACTCTCATGTTGCTCGTCGCGTGTGTGCGGAAGATGAGTTTACATCCATACACAGCAAGGGATACCGCTAACGGCAGGCATCAGTCAACGGCAGGCACGCTAAGGCCCATAATGTACATCAGTGGGTACCCGGCACCCGGTACTAATTAAAACCCTCCACAACACAACAATAAATCCTGTAGGAACAAGTAGCAAGGAAGACCCACCAGATCTCCGTCGTAGATTAATTACACAACCAACACAAAGTTGTTTCAGGGTCCCCATCATCATAACTCTCTCTCTCGCCTTGCGCTCCTCACCCACACCACAGCGCAGCATTCGCAAGCAAGGGAGCAGCAAGGTTTCGAGTTAAGCACCCCCACGGAGAGAAGATGGTTTTCAACCCGCCGGTGTTGAAGCAGGATGCAGACGAGAAGCCGGTGAAGGTCACGGTGTCGCCGGCGAGGTCGGGAGACGCCTACATCGAGCAAGCCAAGCGAGCTGCTGCGTGGATCGGATTGCTGCTCATATGCTGGCTGTTCCAGAGACTCATGTGCCACTTCGACCTGCCTCCTCACTGCGACCTACCGTCAGACGCCCTGGAGGTCCTCACGGACTTGTTGGCGCTCTTGGTTTTCGGATTAACACAGGTGAGATGAAGGGGGTGGAGGTGACGAGCAGAGACTGTTTGTTCGTACCGACAGCTCCCGGCGCGTGTGCGCAGAAAACCATTTTTGTGAGCATCGCATTCTTTTTCCACGATGAACACACGAGGGCCCTCAATGTCCGGCATGTCTGCAGCAACCATGGCGGAGCAATCCTCAGCTACGTTCAGAAGGAAATGCCGTTCGTACCCAAGTCATGGGCGTGTAAGAGTGCCTGCGCTCGCTTCTCCACCAGTGCGCTCCTCAGCTTTGAGCCCGGGCTTCAAGTTCGGGAAAAGCATGTTTTGCCGCGTTTTTTGGGGGCGGGTGTGTCTGATTTTTTTGACCCCCGAAAGCGAGAGAGATAAGAGGGTGCGCGCCCCCTTGGTTTTCGGCGGGTGCGCTCGCCATGTCTAGATAGAGCGGAGGTCCGCGTGCGCTGCACGCGCCAGCTGTGCCCACGTTTAAGCTTAGTTGCGACGTTTGCTACGGAGATGACGGTGGATTGATTTCCAATTCCTGTAGTACATAGCTCGTTTGTTGCAGTTCTTGCGCCTGCACGAAAATTGACCGTTTGCGCAGTTACATTGAGCCAGATTACCACAAACCACCGAGGCGCACGGCTTTGCTTCCATAATGTGATCACAACACATCCTTGCTGCGGTGTTGTTGGGTTTACCATCTTCCTAATATTCGTCTGCCAGCACCGACAGTGCTCACAATTTTAGACGTACACCTTGTTTACCAATACGCTTGCCGTCGACGAATCGATCACGATCGGGCATTTGTTCAGGAACACTCGCGAACTTATCCAACACGACACAACCTTCTGAATAGACATAAATCATGCAGGCCCTCGCGTTCTTCGTTGAGTGACCGCTGTCCATTCCGTCGACACACGACGAAAGCTGTTATGTTGTTGAACGCACACAGCTCACCAACACGCGGCCTTTTCGCGCTGAACATGATCGCTACCGCAGTAGCTCGTAGACACATTCTTAGTATTGTTGTCCCGCCCATTTCTATTATATTTTCTCCGTGTCTCATGCTACGTTCGGGTGTCGTGCGGTATGTCTTGATCCCTCCGGTACTACTGCCGGCGGCGCTGAGCTGCAGCCCGCCGATATAAGCAAGCACGGCGTTACAATCTCAACACGACGCTCCAAGAAAAAGAGAGGACATCCCTGACCTTCTCTTGGCATATACACATGTAGTTCCCCTCTAATCTCCCCAAAGGATAATAAAAATATCTCAGGCACGAACCGCAGGAGGGGGTCCAACCCCCACCTCCCATGGGAGAAGTCCAGATTCCTGACGCCCTCTCCAACCCCAAGTACGCTCTCTGCTACCACTTCCTTAACCCAAGGGCATCGCCGCTGCCGACAACTCCGCCGCACACACCACTTCTGCTCTGCTTGCAATAGTGTATCATACATACCTCTTTCATGACCTCCTTTTATTTGCCTGCATACGTTGATTGCTCTACCTAACCTATTTCGCCGCTCCGGATTATTGGTTGTTTGTGCAGGCATGGTTCTGCGAGGTGTTGGAGGAGAGGAGATTCCGCCACCTCACCCGGGAGGCGTACTTTGGCGTCGTCATCATCGTCATGTGAGTCTACATTCGCAGGATTACATTCTTGAAGATTGGAGCGTGGCACGCGACAGATGTGCCGTAGGATTGGAAGTGTACACCGACTCCTAGTCCGCTTTCTTTGAGTGTGGGACGTCTTACCATGTGCCGTACGTAGCATTTGAAATGTGTGTCGGCTCTCGGTGAAAGAGTCTACGAAGTGCAATTTAATGAGTGTGGCGCGTGATCGATTTGCTTAAGATTTGGTTGTAGTGTACAGCAGTTTATCGGCTTCGTCAGTCACACGCTGATGTATTATTCAGCAGTACGGTTGTGCGCAGGCCGGGCACTCTCTTGGGCGGAAGGTATGTGGAGGTCGGTTCACCCGCCTTGGTCTAGTTCCCAACAAGTTGTCACTGGTTGTTTTATGTGCTGAGAGGGACGATTGTATGCTATACCGGCCGGCCCGCCCGGCATAACACGCCCTATAACAGTGCCCGCGACTGCTGCAGTTGGTCTACATTCGCGTGCCGTCTGTCATGCACACGGCAGCTAACCCTAACCCATGCTGCTGTACCGGTCGCAGCTGATTGGTCGAGGTGGGTGGCGTTGCCGTTTGTTTATATTATTGCAAAAACTAAAAAATGAAGTACGAATTTTTTTTTTGTCTCGTTGACGATGACGCCTGTCAGGCAACAACAAAAGCCCAAGCAGTCGGGCGTTCACCTCTTCAACTCTACATCAACCCATGTTTTGGTTTCCAGGGGAGGCGAACTGAACTGCTGTAAGTCCCTGCCCGGAAAAAATCACCTTCCCCCCCTGAAACCTCCTCCTTGTTCTTCGCCCTTGCCCCCCGCCCTTCCCCGCTGCCCTTGCAACCCGAACATGATTCGCATTTGTCGCATCGGTTTAACGCGCATGTCCAGGGGCCTGATTGTGTCCGCCATCGAAACGACGGACTGGTTCCAAGACATGCGGTTCGACGACAACAGCGACTGGAGAGACTCGCACATCGTGGTGGCTGTGATTCTCATCACGTTCGTGCTGGTGATCGTGGCTTACCACTTCGCCGAGGCGTGGAGGACATTGCCGGGCGCATACTACGTCTCCGGTAACATCAACCTCGACATCGTCATCGAGGAGAACCTCGTGAGTGCGACAGGATCAATGTCATTGCCAAGACCCCCCTTTTCCCCCATCTCTGTATGTCTCTCTGTCTCTCTGTCTCTGTCTGTCTGTATCTCTCCCTGTCTGTGTGTCTCTGCGTCTGTCTGTCTGTATGTCTTGTCTCTTTCTCTCTCTCTGTGCGGAAGAGATGCATGTTTGTAGAGTTTCTCATGTATGCAACCCCCCCTCCCCCCGTTTTCTCCCCGCAGCACCGAATATACAATGTCAGCCGCGGCCTCATCGTGTCCTACGCCCTCCTGTACGGAGCCTTTGCGTTCGAAGAGGGAGACGGTCTTAAGCAGCACTATGTCCTTCTCGCCTGGGTGCTCTCGCTGACGGCCCAGTTCAAGAGCAAGGTCAGCATTATCTGGCTCGCCCTGTGCACGGGCGTGTTCATCCAGGGGTTCGGCTCCTACCGATTGAGGTGTGTGGTGGTTGCGGGCGTTGTCTGACATGTGACATGTGACATACACCTGTATTTTTCATGATTTGCTGCTGTTCGTACGTGCCGCTATCGAGGGCGGTACTGATTTGGTCGCACCGTGTCTGATAAGGAAGAGTTGATCGATCGATGATGACCACCCCGAAACTTTTGTTGAGAGTGTCTCTCAGCACCTCCGCACGCTGTTCCAAGTCGTTTCGCTCTTGAGGAATAGGGATCTCTCATTGATGTTAAAATAGTTCTTTCTCATTGATCTTAAAACTAGGGCACATTTGACCTTGTAGATGTTTCTCCCCTGTCGATATCGTTTCAGAGGTCTTCCCTCACATTTTCTTTTCTGCGGCGACACTGTCTCGTAAAATCCTGTTGCTGTGTAATCATTGTTTCGCGCAAGTGCAGTGTCGTCCATAACACCCACGCAATAAGCAAAAAAAGCATGCGAGCGTGGGACTTGCAATGCTTACGATATACCGCTTGCTTTCAACAATAGAGATCATATCATCCTTGATGTTGAACGGGATTTGATTTCCCTTCCGCACGGATTTTCTCTCCAGATGGATCCATCCGTGCACACGTTCCGCTTGAAGATTGGTTCATCTGTCTTGTAGTTCCCTACTGCAATAATTGTCTCCCTAGTGCCAGATTGATTCTTCCGTTCGCATGTTTTCGCTAAAGATTGGTTCGTCTGTCTCACACCCTTCTTGCAATCATTATCGTCTCTGGTGCGGCGTGACAATGTTAGGTTCCTCTGCGAGGTGTTCGGCAACTACGGCAACGGCTTCGGGGTCCCCGGAAGCGGCTTCGGAGATTCTGACAGCGGCGACAACAACTTCATTGTCGATAGCCCAGACGACGTAGACAGCGCAGACGACAGCACCAGCTTTGACGAGGAGTCTGATGACTAATCTCTTCTAGCGACGGCCTGGCTGACTAGTCCTCGAACCAACGGAATGGCGCGGACCCTGGGAAAAAGACAAGATCAGGCCACGGCTGGGAGAGAAAGATTCACGTCATGCCGGTGGCGAAGGCGACGTCATAATCGTGATAGTCTGTGGCGCGTTTTCTCTGACGGTTTGGGAGTGTCGTTCAAATGCTCGCCCGGGGGGAATGATATTCGCGCGATATCCGGGGATGTCGGATCGAATGAAGTGTGGCCAGGCCGACGGATTTGGTAGGAAGGGAGTTCGTTGGTTTGACGTGAGACAACCTAAGATCCCGGCGAACGGTCAAGCGCGGTGTCAGTTGGATCGGGGACGAATTGTTTGCGTGTTTTTTTTTTTTCTCTGTACCACGGGAGGGCACCGCTTTCGCCTGTCTGGTGCACTGCTGGTGTGGCCACCTAAATAAGATTCCTTACAACGTGGGGGTGGTCGCTCTTCAAGCGTTGCACTTTTTTTTTGTATCTTGTGGCGAAGTAGCGGGCGTGGTCGGGGCACTCCCTTCCAAGTGGCGCATACTTTTTGTTGTTGCGGTTGCAGCTGCCAGCGAGAACCATCGTCGGTTGTTGTGACTTACTTGGAGGGAGGGGTAACAGAGCGAGTATGCCTGGCGTTAGCTGGTTGGAAGGCGGGGGAGGGGCATCCAAGAAAAAGGCCGTGGAGCAGAGCAAGCAAGCCTCCTACAAGTCAGGGCGAGGGATGGGGTCAAGACAGAATCGAGAATAGAGGAGCAGGCAGGCACGTCGAAGTAAGAGCCGAGTTGCTTCTATGTGTGCGTAACTGTTTGGTTGTGGTATCGTGTAGAGCGTTGAATTAAGGGTCTAACTTTGACGTTGGGGAAATGACCGGTTTGGCTTTTGCTTCCCCGTCTCTAATCCGGCTCATCTCTGGTTTTTGTTTGCCGTTTTGATGATGCCCGTCCCCCCCCCCCCCGTGTATGTGGCGTTGGAACCGCCCAACCCTGTTTGCATGTTTGCATGTTGTGCGTCCCCCCCTTCTTTGTGGTCCAAGCCTGTCGTGTGTGGCACCGAAAGTGTGGATGCCAGTGCCTAGACATCGATCGGATGGGACGTACGAGCAAGGTCAACCAATCGGCTTCGCTCACCTCTGGTTGCGTATATCTCGTGCATGGTTTTCCAACATCGTGCTGTGGTGCCCTTTGGCCGCAACGGCACCGCGAGGGCTCTCAGATAAGGCTTGGATCAGGTCCAGTACCTGTTATTTTGGTGTCGGCCGCTTGCACCCTTGCAATTGGCCAGCGAAGAAAGCGAGGTGCGGGAGGTTCGTAGGATAGCTAACCTGTTGTAGTTGTGGCTACGCTCTCAATATAGACGTGTGCTTGAACCACAGCAATAGCTGTGACCCCGGTATTCCGGTAATCATCGTCTCCCGCTGTTGCTTTAGGCTTAAAAAGATCTTGCCGAAATACTTTGATTGTGGAGTGCGTGTCTTCCGGGTGGTGGTGCATTTTCTCCGGACGCTTAATCCTTTGGGGTGTGAGCGCCGTTGGTTGCCTTTGACTTGGCTTGTCTTTTTCTTTCTTTTTCGCTGAAAGAGGGATACGATAGGTATTGGATGATGATCGAGAGGCTTTTGTTTGACTTGTTTACGGCGTGTAGATTGCAGCAGGTCTCGGGTGGACTAAATCGGTGCATCCGATAGGTTTGACTTGACGTGGGAGAGATGTGTTAATCTTTTGTTGATTTCGTGACGCGAGTGTTGTCGCGCGTTGTTGGGTGTTGGTTGCCTGTTGGCGTGATGGATGAAAGTGACCGTAGCATTAGCGTAGCGTTGACCGGCGGCGACAAAGATACTAGATACTGAACATGGCGAGTTCCTGGACTTGTTCCCGTTCAATTGTTGGTGGCTCTGCCCCCTTCAGCCAGTGGGAACCAACTCATTTCACTGCGTTCATGTTTCATTTTACGTTGCTGCATGCAGGTGCATTTGTTGCCAGACACGTTCTTTTTCTTCCAAGACAAATTTGCCTTTGGTTTCATCTTGAATACCTGCAACGAAGCGAGAGAATCAAGCGAGCTTTCCAGATCGGAAAACCAACATGCTTATATATAGATATAGACTATGTATATTTTTTTTTGTCTCCCATCATAGAACTCTATCGTCTGCCCCTCTGGCCCCTATCCTCCACTTGTACTAGCTAGACGACCCAACCGGGGTCAAATAGGAGGGGGGGGCTGGACCCCCTCCTGCGGTTCCTGCCTGAAGTATTTCTATCGCGAGAAGGGTACAGCAATCCCTTCCCTCGCGACTTACGAAGTCGATTATGGTTTAGTAACAACGAGCTTTGCAACGCATCGCTTTCATCCTAGACCAGGATTTATTTAGTGAGAAAAAAACCCACTCTGCCGGGACTCGAACCCATGACCTGGCCCTTAGCAGGCTGCGAGGTCACTCACTAGACCACCGGGGCGACTGGGGATATATGTGAAGACTTGTACACTTCCTGCACCACGCAAAGTCTTGACCGTTTTGACCGCTCCTACGAATGGAAAACATCTGCAGAGATAGGCACCGGGAGTTGAAGTTGGCTATGGCTGTTGCACTGGGTACTTCGCTTGAAGACACTGAGGGCCCTGGCTGCCATAATCGTGTCACATGTGGGTTTCGTACATGTTCAAACCTGAAATAACAATTCGAACCACATCTTTGCACTCGAGGATCAACCCCGCTGCAAAGAAGGTTTGAAGGTTGTTGGAAGTGATCACAGCACCACATCGTGTGCGTGCGTGACATCCTCTTGTGTCATTTTCTCTGTGTCAGTCCAGTGGGTACTCAATACTTTCTCAATCTCCTCAGTACGTGAGCGCTGTGGTACATCTCAGTACGGCGGTTATACCTGCACATACATGGCATTAATCTCCATCCCAGGATCGGCCCTTGCATTTCGAGTTGCTACGGACGCATATCGCATATCTGCTCTGTGCTGCCAAACTGTTTCGGTGGGTGCGGAGTGCGGAGCCCCCCTCCCCCCCCGCCAAGGCGGAGGGTCCACAGGACTGGTCGTTACGATCTTGAATCTCGACAGTCCCGGATCCTGTGTACCGGCAATGTGGGTCTGTGACGCAGTCATTGAGCACATTCTGCCCCCTCCCTCTTTATCTATGCTGCGTCTTCTTACCTGTGCCGCCTTCTGTGGTGAGCCCCGACCGAGCTGTATCTGTTGATGTGTTTCGATGTCGCAGGTTACTTCTGTGTACAGCAGTACATACATGACCATTGCGAGACGCACGGTCCGCTCGTGAACGACGGCGCGACAAACAGTTCTTGATTAAACTGTAACAGCTCGTCCCAAGCAAACTTGCTTGTGTAGGGAGTTGCGGATCTGAGCTATATCGTATAACTCGAGATGCGTTAGGACCTCCTACCCTCTGCACGCGCTGCTGGCGGTATCTTTCGTTTCATCGTGAGTCCACCGAGCGTAAACCGACTCACGATATGTGCAACGTTTAACTCACATGAACAGAGCGATACGCTCTTCCACACCCGCGTGCACAGGTTGTACCCGAGAATATCGATACAGTGCAAGTGGCACTTCGGTAGGAGCATCACTACTAAGACCGGACGATGCCGGGCAGTCGGTATGCTTCAACAATTGTTCAGGGCATGGGCGGTGTATCGACTACACCTGCGAGTGCGACGCCGGCTACGACGGCGATGATTGCAGTTTTTGTAAGTTGAACTGTTCACCCACACGACACTAACGTTGAGTCTATGTCTTACCCTGCCAGCGAAAAACTTTGTCTTTACTGGTGGCCGGGGCATTTTTGTACACTGTAGATTGAGCGCCGAATACAATCTGGGGGGGTCTGGGGGGGGGGGTTGTGCCCCGCAATGGGCAAGTATTCTCGGAAAGTGTTGGTATTCCAACTGACACGGTGGGTTGGTAAAAGCACAGACGCAATATGTGTTAAGGTTAATCCCGGCTTCGCAACCCCCGCACCCAACCGTTGGCAGATCGTGATCGGTACACTATACCTAAACCTGTGGCAACCAGTGATCCAGAATCTCGAGCCGAAACTGAACGGCACCCTCCCGCTTTGCGAATCTTGTGCAGGTTATATTGATGGCGGTGACACCGTCCTGCCGATTCTTAGCGTTGGCGATGTCAATCTGACGTCTTCGAACTTCCGGAAGACACTGCACGATGCGGGGAGTCTTCTTGTGGTTGCGACATCACCGTCATGCCATCGCTGCATTCATCTCGAGACGGAGTACCAGTCCGCGAGCGCTGAGTTACAGGGGAAAGGGGTGCGTTTCGGTCCTGCGTCGTCGACGAATGCATCTGGTACATTTCAGCAGACCGTCTGTTGTGGATCTTTTCTGCTTACCGCGCTTTGAATGCGCCCAAATAGATCATACGCTTCTGCTGTACCTGTCACCCCGACATGCTTGCATGAAACGGACGATTTTGGGCAGATTGTTCTTGGGCGCGTTAATGCTGACGCCGAGCTGGCCCTCCTTGGTCGAATCTTGGGAGGAGTTGAAGCAGCTGCACAACATCTCCCTGTCATCCTTTTATGGACGGAAACACGCAAGTCCAGAAAGGCTTTGCTGTACGACGGCGCGCACGAGCGGCATGCTATTGTTGAGTATGTCCGCAAGCAACTGGAACCGCCCGCAAAAAGCCTTGCAACCATCACGGCCGTGGAAAACTTTGTAAAAGGCCCTCAGTTTGGGGCCTTGGGTACGGCTCCCTCGGAAGCAGTGACGGTAAGCCGCGTTCGTTTGCTGGAAATGAGCCGCAGAAGGGAGAGACTCTGCGCGCAACAAAGCCAAACACTGAAAATCGAGAGTAGACCCGAGCTTTCTGTTTGTCTCCCTAAAGACCTGCGGGGTCTGTTGCGGAAGCAAGTGTCGGTGTAGTTCAAAATCGTTGGGTGGAGCACATCGAGCGAGCAAGGGGTCATGGCGTAATTCCAGTTGCACCTCAAGCACTTTAGCACAGGAAACGATACCATCTGCACATGGATTTACGGTGTCGGGGCAAGCGATGAGTGGCCAACAAAGAATGTGCAGGTAACCTGCAATTCCTGGAAAGACTGCTACAGTTCTTCGCTGAGTTGGTCGGAAGAAGAGTAGTCTACACTTTTTGCAGATCAGGTTGGGGTTGTGTCAGCCGTCCTTTCCTGTAGGCGTTGTTTGGTGGACGATGTCAATGTTGATTTAGTCTACCCACCTTCATTCCTGCTGCCGAGCCTCACGTTAGAGCTCGCCCTAAGCGGACAATATACTAATGCTGGAATTGCTCACCGCCTTGACGGAAGGCACGTCGATCTGATGATTCCTACATCCTTTCAAACTCTGTGCGAAACCTGGGGTGCTCACCGAATCGGTCCAAGATTGTGGGGTTCTTCTCTGGTGCCGGTGAAATGGAGGAAAATGAATTGGAGGACTTCATGGAAGCAGCAACCGACTTGAAGCCCAGGTCTGACGTGTACTTTGGTTTCGTGGACGACGAAGTGGTTTGCGGGCACTTCAAGAAGCTTGGATGGATACAGAGGGCATCTGAGGCGGTTCTGACCAGGTGAGATACACATGTGAGATGTGGATGCACTGCAACGGTGTTGTGTACGTGTTTCGTCTTCTTTACTATATGGCGACAGTCCCTCCATTCTTCGTGGTAAGACGTGTGCTACACACTTCAGCGTATGTAGAGTACTACACTTTTCAGTGTATATTTCGTACAACTACGAAAATTCAGGGTCACACAGGAGGGGGTGAACACCGGGGCTTTATTCTTCTTCATATATATTTTCTACTATTGCACGCAACAACAACAGTGCCTCATGAAGTGACATCGCGTGCACTTGTCCGGAGGGCGGCACACCACGGCACTCACGCCATCCTCAGTGCCCATAGTATGCAAGGGTCAAAATTCATCGCCTTGCTTTTTATTGCCGTGGAAAATATTTTCTGAAATTAAAGCACGAGGATTATTGATGTGACGATGTCAACGACAACTAAAACGTTTCCGCCCTCGCTGATACCTTTTGACATCAACTTGACCTTTCAGGCCAGGACTGTCGCGGGCCCCAAGCCTGACCTTATGGGCGATCTTGGAGGACAACCTGTCAATTCAAGATTGGGTGGTCAGGGTAAGATCACGGATGAGGGCGGGCTTCGTGCTGTTCGCACAGAAAATGGGATTGGGCGGCGTCGCGTGCTTCGCGAACACACTGCTTCGCCCGCAGAGAAGTATCTACGCCTGGGAGTTTGTTAGGGTAAGATCAGGGTGAAATGAGGCCGACCAGATGCATGAACAGGTCCTTCATGCGACTCATGCAGCCTGTCTTTGGCTGCCTGCAGGAAAGCCTTCCTTTGGTGGGTCGCTTATCGAACGCAAACTTCGCGCAGTACGAGCGGACGCATCTGCCGATGCTCATCATGTTTCTCGAACTTCCTGGTAAGCGGTGCACGTTTACATAGCTACTGTTTTCTGGGGCCTTCGCCCGTCGGAGCATTAGCTCGTATTGTTTTGCCCGGCGATCGGAAGGGCTTCAGCAGGGGTTGTGCGTCAAGTCTTCTACTCCTTCTCTTGCAATTCCACGAGCAGAAGCATTACTCAAAACGACCTGAGGTTCGCAGTGGGCCACAAATACCTACATGATAGCCATTCTACCAAGCAGCCCCCCCCCCCCCATGCTTGCGCTTTCTGGACCGAATCGATCCATTTTGTCAAACTTGGCAGACTCTCACGGGTGGTCTGAAAAGTTTTGACCAGATTGAGGACCCGCAGTAGCAAAGCTAGCTTCGTTCTGGTACAGCCCGACGTTGTCGCATGCCTGGCAGCATCAGCGTTCTTCCCCAAAAGGACGGGTTTTATCTTACAAACAACCCCCACGCGTCCGCGAGCTTCCCCTCTATAGGATTTTCTACTCACAAGACTTGCGACCCCCCATGACATCATGAGGGCTTTACATACGTCAATTCATCAGACAAACCAGCACAACGAACGTGTTCTCGTCCTTGCGTCCTCGAGGGGTTTGAGCTCGTGCAATGCATTTCCTTTCCTCAGCCTTTGTGTCTTGACCGTTGACTCTTTTTGTGGTGACAGACTCTTTCGCTGCCGGGTCTGCTCATGGGTCTCGGATTGGCGGAAAATCCGGCGGGGTGCGGAATGACGAACTCGTGAAAGAGCTCAAGGAAGTTGCGCTGGAGCACGTGAGAAAAATGGAATATTCCGACTCGAACAGCAGAGTCAGAGGGCTTTTGATTTCGTGAAATCTTCGCTTGAATGTCTACGACAAAATGATCCGACGCGATGCTTTGCCCCCAAACACTGCCTCAGTTGAAACATTTTCCTTCGGCGTGGATCTGCTCTCAGAAAGGAAGCATCACTTGTCTGTACGCCGATGGAGTAGCTCTCGCCGACAGCATGAAGACGCTCGGTCTTTTCGGTGAGAGCGTGGTGGGGCGTGTAGAAGCTCACATTATTCTCGTTGCTTTGTGCGGCGCACTCTCTGGGGAGGTCGTCAGCAAAATGTTTTTTTTCCCGTGTGTGTGCTTATCGATCCGCAGGCAGCCGAGAGCGCCTCCCGCAAGTGGGTTTCAACACCATGGACGGCAGGCAGATTCCTTTTCCCGAAGACCTCCCCATCAACCGCGAGACGCTGCTCCACTTCGCCGCCGCGTTCTTGAGCGGCCGACTGCAGTCGGCTCTCGACGCAAGAAAGGCCATGGTTGTGTCTCGGCCGTTCAGCGCGCACAACACCGTGCGGCGGAAGGACAGACGTGGAACGCCGACCGAGGTTCGAGGGGTTTCGGAACAACTGAAGCCGAAAGATGCGATAACGCAGGTAAGCCAGTAAAGCACGTGCTTGTGCGAAAGAGCCAACGACCGAGACTATTTGCCGAGTGAGTTCAGGTATCGGGTTACAGGCGAAGCATTTTTCGGCAATAGATGTCAAGCGCTCCCATCTTCACCTGAGACTCTCCACTCTACCAAACTCTCCACTCTATCAAACCTCTTGTTAGCTTGTTCTGTTTCGTCACTGACATGCAACGTTGGTGTGTTTTCGTCTTTATACGCTGTTGGCCAGGTTACAAGGGAAAGTTTCGCTTGGACGGTACTCGACAACGACAAGGATGTCTTACTTATGTTTCATGCGGAGGTAGGACTAAATGCCTCTCCAGTAAATCGCATCTGTCTGTCGGAAAAATGACATGAACTTGAGAGCATTGCAATCGTCCCCTTCTTCTAGAGAGACCATGAATGCATTTGCCCCGGACAACGCCTCATCCAGCCCATTTTCAACCCTTTGCTTCCCAGGAATGTGAGAGATGCAGCAACATGGTGCCCTACTACAAGGCGAGTCTAATGTCACGCGTTTTTTCCGTTCTCTCTGAAGAACCACTATTGCATCGATGCCGCGACCGCCCCCATTACTTGTTGTACCCATCACCCAGGAGCCTGAACCTACCTCTTGCTGATAAAAATAGACGACGGGAAAGGTCAGGCTGCGTGCACAAGGCTCGCACAGGAGCTGGCGGGGTGTCGACAAAAAACAACTCGAAACGTTTGCTTCGGGCCATAGTATCACGCAATCATGCCTACTTGTGCTGCTGCTTGTCATCCAGCGCGTGGGCGAACGGTTTCTGGATCTGGACATTCCTTCGGTCCTTATAGCTGCGATGGACGTGACTCTCGAAACGCCGCCCCCGGAGGTAGCCATGACGTTGCCGCCCCTTCCTGCGATCGTTCTTCTCCCGGGCGACGACAAGGAGGCACCGTTCAGGTAGGGCGGGAAACAGCCAGCCCGCTGCGCGATACCGACCTTCCTTGCTGACATTCTGTAGGCCATGGCCTCAGGCCCGTAGGGTAATGTTGTCGGGTGCGCCATGCGACCAATGGTCTGCGTTGCCTGACTCTGTGGTGATGGACGGACTTGTAACCCCCGTTGAGACCTTCTGCAGTTTTCCAGTGGTTCTTTACTCACGCCTAGTTCAGGCGTTCTTAGGCCATGCTATTATTGTATTTGTAGCCCCCCGGAGAGGTTTCTTCCTGGCCGGTCTCCGGATATCACCCCACCTCTCCCCTTCTCCTCTCCGCGTGTGCCCAACGACTACAGATTCTTTTCCGGCGTGGGCAAGGTAGGGCCGCTAATGAGGTGGCTCCAGGAGCACTCGTCAACTCCGTTCGAGCTGCCGGCGCTCCCGCATCTCTCCGAAGAAGACAAGCCGCTCTTTCGCAAGCAAGTGAGGGAGCGGCAACACCTGCTGAACGCAAGGGCTTCCCAGGAGTCGTGAGCATGGCCTCTCTACGCGGGAAATCCTTGACAGGGTAGATTGTACCAGCATTGCCATCGCGGCTTATAGGTCTTTGTCGAGAATAAGAAATGATTCCCCACATTTTAGACGTCTTTTCTCTACCGCTTGTGCCGGTAGCGACATGTGGGACGCGGAACTTTACAGAAAACGAAGCGGGAACGGATCAGCCGGCAAGACGTTGCGACCCTGGCATCGCAAGGAGATCATGAACCGGCTGGAAAGCATATTGTATGGACCGGAAGTCTGTCTGGACGCGCGCCTGTGGGTGATTGAGATGCTACGCAAAAATCCAGGGCTTCCCGATCCCATCTACAGTCAAGACTGTACTGATGTGACGTTTGATAACCTTGTGTAATGAGCTTAGTAGGTGATATCTCACGCAATACACCATTCATTCTTTTTCTCTCTCTTCGTCCGTTGGACCCGTACGGATCAAGGTGCTGAGCTGAGATCGGAAAGGTTTCATATGATGATATCAGCACAGCAACAGCTGAGACTGTTGTGTACAGTTTTGCCCGAGCTCTGTTCGTTCGTGATACTAAGTCTGCTCTAGCCATGGGTGAATGGTTACCGAGTCGTGTTCGTGTTGTGGCCGGGTCGCAATGAGTGCACCATGATCTAGACATGATACTGTCATGACCCTATTCTTTATGTCTAGGTTTCGTCCATTGACGCTAGCCTCGCACCTAGACTATGCCGGCTCCAGTAACAGCTCGTCTACTAGACTAGTCTACATAGATAGCTTGTTAGATATACTCGCAACAGTATCTGGTCGTGAGGACCCCAGGGGGATACATGTTGGGATTTTCGTGTGTTGTAGGGTGTCACTGGTTCAGTCACGGGGACCCTTTTGGCTTGGTTGGTGCGATGAGGCTTGGGTGCGTGCTGCGCACTTCTTCCTGCTCTCTCTCCACCGCCACCGCCGTCTCTCTCCAATCAAGTTTCCTTCTCTCACTCTCTCTCCACCTCTCTCACCACCTCTCTCTTTCGGCCTAACACGGCCGACTACCCAGTGCCCCAAGTAACGCCCAGGACGGGCTTGCTGCACCCCGCGTAGTTTACCTTTCACACCAGTGCGATATCATGGTATCCGCGCGCGGGCGTAGCCTTCGGGGGGTTGTGCAGTCACGCGCAATCGGTAGACTCCCACAACAACAGACACCACGGAGGGCATCGACCTCTCCGCCCTTAGCGAGGAAGAGCTACAACAAAAAGTGGAGGAGATCGTCCAGCAACGAGTACAAGCCTAACTTGAAGCCAACAGGATCAACGAGGGTGAAGTCACCTACACCCAACCACCAGCCGTCAACCCAGCCCCACCTACTGGCAACCAGCCAACACCCTCCAGCCAAGGCAAACCAGTCACTTTCAACGACCCCAGCAGCGTCGCACACATCGTGGCGCAAGCGGCTAAGGCGAGAGCTGAGGCTATTGCTGAACAACAGGGCTTTGCCCGCTCAGGCACGTTGCGTGTCAGTCCTGGCTCAGAGATAGAACCTTGGCTTGGTAGCGTGAAGAAGGAGCAGGAGTTGTACATTATGTTTGATATTTTCCGTGGTAAGATGACTTCATATTTTCAGGAGGATGGTGTGCATGATGCGTTGGAACTGGAGGTCGAGGTCAAGGTCGGAAAGAGGGGTGTGAATGTAGCAGAACTTCGGAGACTTTTTGGCAATGATGTGGTAGACAAGTCTATCAAACGATGGAATATTCTCATCAGCAAGGTCTTGTACCCCCCGATTCAGAGCTTGATTTTGGCGTGTGAGAGTCCACAAAAAGGCTGGAAAATAGTGATAGAGTGCTATCAGGAGAAGAAACAGTCGGAAAAGTCGAGGTTGGAGCAGGACTGGAAGAAGTGGAGATGAAAGAGTCTGAGAGTCCACAGGACTATGTTGCCCGCTCAGAAGCCCTTCGCTTGCTTCTAGCGTCTGTAGGAATGATCAAAGATGAAACAGATGCCAGCAAAGGCATTGCTCGCGGCCTTCCGTCTTCGTTGTTTGCCGTGCAAAAAAGGCATACTGCTTGCCCATGATGTCCTGACGTTGCGTACCCTTGAGAGTGTGGTGAGGGACGTCCACGTGGAGATGGAGCGCGAGAGGAGCAAGGGGGAGAGGTACGAGGTAGAGCTCGCTCTCGCCGCGTCCGGCATGGGCCGGCGCGGCGGGGCCAGTGGGGGGGCATCCGGGGGTCAAGACGGCGGTCACACAGCAGCTGGCGGCCAAGATCGAGACGGAGAGAAGAAAAACGGTGACGTGTTCAACGACGACCCCTACGGATTTGCCGCTACCACCAGTCCGAGCTTTAGACTAACGAGCAGTGTCGTTTCCAGCAGCAACTGCGGCGCGCGCGTTCGAGAGAATGCGCCGAGGGACGCCGCTCGGGCGGCGGTAGCCAGCGCGGGGGTAGACCGCCGCCGGGGCCCGGCCGTGGTGGCGGGCGACGGGTGAGGATTGAAAGGCAGCAGCACCACACCGGTCATGGTGGCAGTGGCTGGAGCTAAGCCTCGCCCCCCCCCCGCGACCTCTTCGTGGACGTGGGCCTGGTGGTCGTCTGGGGCGTCACCCGGGGGGTCGTGGGCCCGCGGGACGCCACAGCAGCGACGGTCGTGCCGAGAGAGAGCGGGCGGGGAGAGGCCCGGGGCACCCGCGTTCTGGCCACGGAAGAGAGCAGGCGTACGTTGTGTACTATGCCCACGATGATGGTGGCTACTACGAAGACTACGGCGACTACGACGACGGATACTACTACAACGACGGCTACCACGACGCCGGGTACGCCCACTACGCCGGCGGTGGGCACAGCTACAGCTACTCCTCCGGGTACGAAGACAGCCGCTCATTTGACGGCGGCATTCACTACGTTTACTACCCTCCCGCCGGCGAAGATTCGTCATCCGAGCGGCCAAGTCAGCCCCCCCCGCGAGCAGCAGCAGCACCGCTTCCTTCTCGTCCTCTACCCCTTTTCCTGGCGCGCCTCCATCTTCGGGCTACCTCCACCTCTGCACGGCNGGGGAGAGGCCCGGGGCACCCGCGTTCTGGCCACGGAAGAGAGCAGGCGTACGTTGTGTACTATGCCCACGATGATGGTGGCTACTACGAAGACTACGGCGACTACGACGACGGATACGACTACAACGACGGCTACCACGACGCCGGGTACGCCCACTACGCCGGCGGTGGGCACAGCTACAGCTACTCCTCCGGGTACGAAGACAGCCGCTCATTTGACGGCGGCATTCACTACGTTTACTACCCTCCCGCCGGCGAAGATTCGTCATCCGAGCGGCCAAGTCAGCCCCCCCCGCGAGCAGCAGCAGCACCGCTTCCTTCTCGTCCTCTACCCCTTTTCCTGGCGCGCCTCCATCTTCGGGCTACCTCCACCTCTGCACGGCACAATCGGTGCCTCGAGGCAAGTCTCACCCCGAAGATTTTTTTGGTGGGATAGGAGTGCGATTGGAGTAGCGTCTGCTGCGTCTGCGTCGTCTTTGTTGAGTGTGGAATCTAGTGAGGGGCCGCCTGGTAGCGAGAGATGGTTAGCTGACTCAGGAGCCAGCAACAGTTTTACAAACAGCAGCCTGCACATGTACGACTTGCAAGAGATCCCCGCCAGTAGGGAGTATGTCGTTGTAGGTGATGGTCGACTGCTCGAAGTGCAAGCTATTGGTAGCATCAATCTTAGTTTCTGTCAGGAGGATGAGAATGGTGAAAAAAACGACGATGTGTGTGAACCTCACTGACGTGTCTGTAGTAGAGAGCCTGAGCTTCAATTTGTTTTCAACGCATGCTGTTTCTCTGAAGCAGCAAATCCTCCACGAGGAGCGTGGCGCAACCCTACAAAAATGGACTGCTCTTTGCTAGAGAGGAAAAAGCGTCTGCAGCGTATGCGATGCGGTTGCCGTACGACCCATCTACGAGTAGACTGCTGCTTTGCCCGCATCCGTGACTGCCCCCGATTCCGCCCCCGCCGTTGGCTCCACGCGTTCCCCTTCACAAAAAGAGGGCCCCGCGAAATCGTTGGTGTCCGTGTTGCGTGCTCCTACCGCTGGCTCTGCTAGCGTAGTACCTTCGGCTGATAGCGTCCCGCCCACTNGATGCGGTTGCCGTACGACCCATCTACGAGTAGACTGCTGCTTTGCCCGCATCCGTGACTGCCCCCGATTCCGCCCCCGCCGTTGGCTCCACGCGTTCCCCTTCACAAAAAGAGGGCCCCGCGAAATCGTTGGTGTCCGTGTTGCGTGCTCCTACCGCTGGCTCTGCTAGCGTAGTACCTTCGGCTGATAGCGTCCCGCCCACTGGTCCCACCAGTGTAGTACCTGCGAGTGACAGCGTCCCGCCGGCCGGCTCTGCCGACGTAGTACCTTCTTCGCCGTCCGAGTTTGTGTGTGTGGGTACTTTTCCGGGTATGGATCTTGGCAATACGAGTGTGCTCACCGACGAGCAGCTCATGGATGGCTATGATGACACCCCGTATCAACAGTTTGTCCTCGTGTTTATCCCAGAGAGTGACGCTGCGAATGTGGCTGGTGTTTTGGATAGCATTGATGGGGGTGCTGATTTTGACTTAGGTGCGGCCGCGCTTGGCCCTGGTGCGTCCCCGTTTGCCCTTGGTTCGACTGAAAAGTCCGTTGACATCAACCGCTTCCACCGCTCCCTTGCCCACGCTTGCGAGCCTCTATCGAGAGAAACTGCCCAGCAGAGAGCCATCGTGCTCACGGGCAAGCTGGAACCGAGCACGGACTGCATGAGGGCGAAGGGCAGGCGAGGGTCGGTGCCGCGGGGGCCGGGAGCGCGGGCGCCTAAGCCACTCGGGCGTGTTCACCTGGACCTGTGTGGACCGCTGGTGCCTTCTCTGGGCGGCAACCTCTACCTGTTCGTCGCCGTGGACAGCGCCTCGCGGTGAAACAAGGTCTACGGTCTCCGGCGGAAGTCCGACGCGCTGGCGGCAACGAAAAGGCTGCTGGCGGACGTGGGGCGGTACGACCTCGGGCGCATCGAGTGTTTCCGCGTCGACAACGGCACCGAGTGGACCCGCGGCGACTTTCGGCGTTTCTGCGACGACAACGGCATCGGCATCGAGTCCACCCCGCCTGGCGTCCCGCAGTACAACGGCGTCGTCGAAAGCGCCATCTGGCGCGTCATGAAGGCCGGCATGGCCGCCCGCCGCAGCGCTGGCCGTGTGTTCAACGTCGACTTCGTCTTCATCCCCGGCCTCGACGAGCGCAGTGACCGTCTTTGGATGGAATCGGCGAAATGGGCCGCCGACGCTCTCAACCAGTCGGCGACCAAGGCCAACCCCGGGCGGCGCTCGCCGCACGAGATGTTCACCGGCGAGCAGGGGCCGTTTCGCGTGCTGCCGTTCTTCTAGCCCGGCTTCATGCGTGAGGATCGTCGCACCAAGCTCGACGACCTCTGCTACTACCTGAACGGCGGCGACAACCACCCGAGCGGCACCGTCAAGGTCCTCAAGGCGTCCACCGGCCGCGTCGTCTACATCAACAACGTATCGAGGGTAACGTCGGCGCCAGCCGGCGAGGAGTTCCGCTGGTATCACGGCTGCGCCGACGCCCCTCCCGTTCGTGCCGCCGGTCGTCCCGATCAACTTTGGCCCAGCACCGATGCCTTCGACCGCCGCACCGCCGCCGCCAGCGCCCACGCCGTCGCCCGCTCCTGCTCCCGCTGCCGCTTCGCCCCCTGCCGCTGCCGCAACGCCGCCGCCAGCGACCACGCCGCCGCCCGCTCCCACGCCTTCACAGCCGCCCTCTGCCGCTTCGTCGTCACCGTCGGCGACCCCCGATCCAGACCAGCCGCCGCCGTCGCCGGATCCCGCGATGCCCCCGGTTACGGCTCACGCCATGCGGCAGCTTCGCCCGGGTACAAAGGCCGAGGATATGACAGACCCGCGGCTGCCAAGCCGTACGAGATCGGGCACAAGGCACAGCACAGGACTCATCTCGATGCTAGACAAGAACACTCTGGTGTCGATGCTGGAGGCTCGGAGCGCGGTGGATGAGGAGCGCAGGGAGCTGCGGGGGGCGGAGAGCGGAGAGCCCGGGAGAGCGGGGGGCGGAGAGCAGGCGGGAGCACTCGCAGCGGTGGACCCGGGGGCTGGAGGAGCGGGCTTTCCACTTGCATTTGCCACGCTCCTCGCCAACCGGGAAGACATCGACGCCACGCTGCGAGACCAGCGCCCGCCGGAGCAAGGCCCTGACCTTCAGCACTGCCAGGCCAGCGACCTTCGTGTTCCAAAGAACTACAAAGAGGCCATGGCGTCGGGGCACCGACCTGGATGACCCACTAAGGTTTAGTTGAGACTTGTAGCGAGAGGTGATATGCAGAGAGAGTACATTGACTTTGGAGAGTTGTACGCGCCTACCGTTTCTGTTTCATGTGTTAGGATGTTGGCTGCTTTGGAGTGCGAGTTGAACCTCGATTTGTGTCATTTCGATATTAAGCAAGCTTTTGTGCGTTCGGAGTTGGAGGGAGATGAGTACATGCGTTTGCCGCAGGGATGTGGAGCTCTTTCTCGAATAATTGAAAAACCAGAGTCTGTAGACTATGGCTTGAGACAGGCATCTAGGCAGTGGCATGCAATGCTGAAGAGGTGTTTGGGCGTTAGGTTTTGAGCAGTGCATGGCCGATGCTTGTGTGTTTCGTTTGATTGAGGATGGATGTGTTGGTTTGATTTTGGTAGTACATGTAGATGACATTTTTGCTGTGGGAGAGAGGGAGAGATGTGACAAGTTTGGCGCCGACCTTAACAAGTTCGTGCCAGTGAAGAACCTGGGAGAGTTGAGATGATACCCTGGGTGCTTTTACGAGAGGAACAAGGAGACCGGTAGATTGACGATTTCTCAGCAGACTTTCACGGATGGATGAGCTAGCAGTAGAGTATGGAGTAGTGGGAGGTAAGAGCGTTCCGATGTCTTCGGGGGTGAAGCTTTCTGATCTTGGTGCGGATGAGGTGGCGATAGACTTTCCGTTGCGTGAGTGAGCTGGTAGGATCTTTGATGTGGCTGGCGACTCAGACTAGGCCAGACATAGCAAGGGCAGTAGCTGGGTATTGCGCATGTCCGAAGCTGGTACACTGGAATGCAGCGATGGATATTTTAGGCTTTGCGAGGAGGACGAGTCACTTTGGTATTTCGTTTCAGAAAGGTGCGATAAATGGTTTCAGTTTGCAGGGGTACGCTGATGCGAACTTTGTAAGCAAGGCAGCAGACCGTAGGTCGGTATCAGGGGGGATCGTCACGTGTGGAGGAGGCGCTGTGTCTTGGTTTTCCAGAACGCAGAAGTGTGTTACGCTTTCGACGACAGAAGCAGAGTACGTCGCGCTTGGTGACGTAGTGAAGGAGATCTTATTTTTGAGGCAGATTTGGCGTTTCATGTTGCCGCAGGTCGGCATGCCGTGTATCCCAGTCTTCGAGGGCAACTAGGGGGCGATTCAACTAGCGCAGAACCCCATCTCAAACTCGAACTCGAAGCACATAGATGTAGACTAGGGCATCATTTTCTCAGGGAACTGGTAGAGAGGAAGGAAATTTCGGTGATCCACGTNAGTCTTCGAGGGCAACTAGGGGGCGATTCAACTAGCGCAGAACCCCATCTCAAACTCGAACTCGAAGCACATAGATGTAGACTAGGGCATCATTTTCTCAGGGAACTGGTAGAGAGGAAGGAAATTTCGGTGATCCACGTGCCGTTGCCATACCAGCGTGCAGATTTTCTTACTAAGAGCTTGCCGAAGGACACTTTCGAGTCTCACCGTGATTTTGTGATGAATTTGGCATGAACATGTTTTATTTTATTCCTTAATATCACACAACAAATCCATCTCCATCAATCGAAATAATAAGTCTAAGATAGATATGCAACTAATTGTTTCTCTGATGGGTTGTGTTCTAGTTTAGTTTTGTTTCCCGCGCATGAGGTATAAATTGTGCGCGATGCAGCATTCAAGTTTCTTGGTACTCTTCTTTTTTATTTTCTTAACCCTTTTGTAACGGAGGTACCCTGCGACTCTTCCGGGGGGCAGATGCGACCCTTCGGCCCCAACAGCCCGAAATTTCAACAAAGAACGATAAGAAGGACACCGAAAGCCGCTAAAAAGAGTCTGGCGCGCGAGAGCTTCTCCCAGAGCACGTCAGCACGTCTGCGTATGTCTGTGCGGCATCCCGCGCAGAGTACAGTCAATATACATAGCAGGACACGCGCGGTATTCGGCGGGGCCGGGGGGGGGTAGAGGGTGTGCCAGATGAAAAGGGTGTAGTAGAAGGGACGACACGCAAACAAACGTGACGGCTGCTGCTGCTGCTGCTGCTGCTGCTGCTGCTGCTGCTGCTGCTGCTGTCACAGAACCAGCAACAGCCAGCGTAGTGCGCTCTCTCTCTCTCTCTCTCTCTCTCTCTCTCTCTCTCCGTACTTGGAGGGCAAGCACACGACGTCCAACCTCATAGCAGTGCTCTGTGTGGCTGCCCAATGCCTACACAAGAACTCAAAGAAGAGCACACACAGAACCCGGACACAAAGGACACGTATGTATGTTGAAATATGAAATGTTGCAAACGAGAGACGGTCACAAACAACGACATCAGAAACGCCGCAGCGGCTGCTGCAGAGGTGCTACTACAGCTCTCAAGCATCACTCTCTCTCTCTCTCTCGCCGTACTTGCAAGGCAAACAAACGACGCCCAACCTCTCAGCAGTGCCCTGTCTGCGTGGCTGATCAATGCCCACCCAAACGTTTGGTAGAAACACGAAACACAAAGAAAGAGAAAAAGGAAGGCGCTGGCACGTGAAAAAAAATATCCCAAGCAGCGAGCCTTGTGAGCGAGCGGGTAAAATACGAGCTGCTTGCACCACACACAGCTCCGGCAGCACAGCCGGCGACTTCTGTCACCGCCTTCGTGCTAGAATGCGTGGTGGACACTGCTGGTGCCGTTATATCCCTTCACGTCGTGATGGTGCCAACGCGCGTCTGTAAAAGGCGGGGCGAGGCCCTCGCGCGCACGTAGGATCCGCGTGTAAAAATTTGGGAAGTTTTTTTCACAAAACCTACAAATGACTTGAAAAGAGATAGTAGACGAGGGTAGACTTTTACTGAAAAATTGAACCGGGGGACTAAATAGGTGACGATCACAGTGACGATCATAGTGGGGTAATATCGGCGTAAAAATTACTTGATTCCTGCAAAAGCGTCTTGTTTGTAGACTAGGCGCAGTTATTCTGGGCTTGATATCGCCGTGCACACACCCCTCACGGGGTCCCAGTTCATGGTAGATAGAAGTGTTTTGTGTTTTCAACCGCACTAAGACTGACGTCTTTTCATTGGTCAGCCGGTTAGCGCGGTCGATGCTAATAATAAA